ATGAAAACTTGACAAATGTCTTTTGAAGGCTTTATTTTGAATTACATATGTTTTTTGAATGTTGAAAGCTGCTCACAATTGAATAGACTGTCACCTAGCCACTGGTTTGTACTATATAATAGTGTAACAGTAACAATCCCGAAGGGTAATAAGATGTATATACCCAGAATATTTGGTATGCATAATGTTTTCACAAATCATAATCTCTTTTGATGGACATTTGTGGGCATTTTGCTCTCTTTAGGGAAACAACCTTTTAATTACCTATGTTTTTGGTTCAAATGGACAAACTGGGACACATTACTGGTTGCTTTTATAGAGATATATATTTGAATATTGAACTAGAATACGCTAAGTGCTTTCTCCATGGCCATTTTGGATTTTCATTAGCACAAAAATGTTTAATGCTGCTCACAATTGAACAGACAATGTAATCTGTTCACTAATTTGTGCTGTATATTTATAACATAAAGAAACTGGCAAAGAAAGAGTCAATTTGCTTAACATTGGTAAATACATGTAGAAAATCCAACAAGCTCAAGGGGCTATTCGAATACTTGGAACTGAAATATAGCCTACTCTTATTTCACAATTACTCTTTGGATTTTGCAATAATGGTAATTTTTGTGCCCTTTTAAGTTCAGATATGTCTAAGAGCAATTTAAAATGATAGTTTATTATATAACTGTGCAAATTACTCAACTCAATTTTGAGTTTTAAGGCACACTGGTGGAATCCAATAACTAATTAATAAAAGTTGGCCAAGTTAACTGTAATTACAGGTTTAACATAAGTGTGTACATCTTTTAGTGCATATTTAAATTCCAGCAACACAACAGCAGCTCACAGATATATAATTGATTATTATAGGATAGCCTTTGTATTGTCCAAATTTACTTCACTATGTAGTTGTGAAGTATAAATATAAGTATAAGTATAAATACCAGTCACATCTGCAAATCAAATACATGTAAACCTTATGGAGAAATGCTCTTCTGTGTCATAGTTAAAGGTATTTAATGTCCATAATAATCATAGAGTGACCAGTGGATGTAAAGTAACGTTATACTGACCTCTGCAGGCAGAAAACTAGCATACGCGAATCATAGAGGTCTTCATATAAATTCAACGACAAAATGAAAATAATAATAAAAGCCATATATAACATTAGCTATATGCTTTAGCAATGTTAGCAAATTGTGATTACTGTGATTTTAGTAGCTCCCCTCGACGCAAAGCAAAACAGATGTTATCTGAGCACATTTTTAGCGCAGCAGGGGGAATTGAAATATATAGACACGACATTTAGCTTATTTTAATGCCAATATGACCACAAAGGTTAATCAAATGTACTGTGTTTTATGCAAAAATAGCATACGGAAGGACTGACCTGCAGAAATCGCCGGGTTGAACGCACTTGAATGGGGCGGGAGTGAGTAAAAACAGCGCTGGGGTCTCCTTCCTTTGCGGTTTCGCTTTTTCCTTGTACGTCAAAGGCGCTGGGCGGTTCATGAATGGACTTTTCAAGTGGGAGGGCCCCTCAATACTGGACTTTAGTAGGCAGGGAAAAGTGGGTGTAGAGCTAGTGTTTGCATTTTCTTCATGTCTGTTTTGTGCCAGGCAACTGATATCCAGCAGCTGGGAAGCAAAGGCCGTGTACAGCGGAGGAGCAGCAGCCGGGGAAAGCTAGCCCCAGCCCCGCTAGTGACAGTGACGGAAGCCCGGGGTCTGTAGTGGAGAGATCCGTGTTGTAGACAGGGCCATGGGGTTCCGTAAGAAGAACAAGAGCCCACCGGTGCTAAGCCATGAGTTTGTTATCCAAAACCACGCGGATATGGTGTCGTGTTTGGCTATGATAATCCTTCTCGGCCTGATGTTTGAGGTGAGCTTCTACTACTGGAGTGTGAGTGAGTGGTTAGCATGTTAGCCGCAGATGCTAACTACCATTAGCAGACGTGACAGCAGTCCAAAGTGGAGACTAGACTGCAGCTAGCATGTCTTTCCTTCTCATGTGTCCTGAATTTTGCCAAGGGAGATGTCCCTGCTACTATTTTCTTAACTAGTCAGCTAATGTGCTGTCTATTTATCTCAATTAATCTTGCTTGCCCCTTTTAAATAGGTACTGCTGACACTACAAAGTATTATTTACCTGTCCTCTCCTTGTTTTTCTTGAAGCATAAACCAAAAATAAAACCATATAAATGCAAGGTAATGCTATTTTATCTCATGTTCTGTCCAAATCATGAAATATATTTAATTGCTTTGTTAATATGTTCAGATGACACTAAGTACTGGAATGTTCTACAGTAGGAAATTAAACTTATGTATTTTGCATAAATTCAACTACATGTGTTCTTATTCCCAAACAATAATTACATTTTGGAGATAGGTAAGTTTAAAGTCATACTGCGGAACATTCCAGACAAAGCAATAACATTTCTATGGAGACAGGCAGGTCTGCTCCAGCAGCAGTTACATCGTGCACTGCTTTGATTAAAAAAAAGAGAATATAATATTGCTGTTAAAATAAAGGCTCTATGTAGAAAACCCCATGTCATCATATTAGATTTCGTATTTTGTTATGGCATTGAAAAATCTATGCTAGTTTGAGCTAAACCAGGTCTAAATCCTGCCTAATCATCATCATGCACAAATGTGTAATTTCAATTAAATATATACTCAAACACCATAAGAGTTTTTACAACGTTACTTTATCATTTAGAAAGTTTTATGTCATAAAGTTGGTCTCATACTTGAGGAAGGACAATCTATTAGAGTGTGAACGATCGTGTATTAGGGATTTTGTCCACCATGGGTCGTGGTGTCTGTGTGTGAATAGTCATAACATTTTCCGAGAGGTCCACAGCCAGTACTTTCAGTAAAAGCATGTTGTTTGAAGTACAATTCAGTCAATGGAGGAGGTAATTTGGCTTCTTTTGGGTTAAATGGTACTGATTCAGTCAAAAGTCTACAAATGGCAATACAAAATCTATTTTGTGTTGCCATTTCACTCAGCCCTAATCCCTACCCTAAACTAGGTCTAATTAATAGTGTTACATGGGCTTAACCAGATGGTTACAACAAAAACATGGCCTGAAGGAATTTACGGCCCACTAAAGACTTTTGTAATCTGATTCTTTGTTGTGTCTTTTCATCTAGTCGAATTAAAACCTTTTTTTTTTTTTTTCATAGGTGACTGCAAAGTTTGCCATAATGTTCATCACAGTCCAGTACAATGTAACACAAGTCTTAGGTAAGGTAAATTTGTGGTTTTAAGATTTTAATTATTTTTAAGGTATAGACTGGTGGTTTTGGCATGTCCTTTTTTTTTTTTTTTTTTTGCAGATGAAAAGCAAGAAGCAGTGAACCTTTACCAATATGGGCCTAAAGATGTGGCAACCGTGTTCTTCTACCTTCTAATCGCAGTCATTCTTCATGCTTTGATACAAGAATATATTCTGGATGTAAATAGAAATAACGTAACATACGTTTTTTTTTTTATCAAATGTGGAAATACATCTTTATGCAAATATATATATTTTTTAATCTGTGCAGAAAATAAACCGGAGATTACACTTATCAAAAACAAAACACAGTAAGTTCAATGAGTCTGGACAGCTGGCTGCATTTTATCTCTTCTCCTTCATCTGGGGCTGCAGCATCCTCACAGCGGTATAATCTTATCTGAAGCACTGAGTTTAGTGTTTACACTGAAGTGCTCATTATAACTCTGTGTATGTCTATGTATGTGTAAATTTTACAGGAGGATTTTGCCACAAACCCGACTTTTCTGTGGGAAGGGTACCCTCACACACGCATGGTGTAAGTCATTTTCTATCATCTTAAATTTTTTTTTGACAAATATCTTTATTACATTTTTGATATAACAAAAACAAAACATGTATAAGGGCAGAAAAAATACACAAAGCCGCACTGCAATGTAAACATATTTCCAGACATTAAGAAAAGAAAAAAAAAATATGTATAAATAAATGGACGGTGGCCTATATAAAAAAGTTATGCTATGCTAATATATTTTGATAAGTGATCCAGGAAAGGTTGCCAAAGGCAAAACTCTAACCTTTATCCTCCAGATCATACCGAATCTTCTCCATATACAATATTAGTTAATTCAGTTAACCACATCTTAAATTGAGGAACTGTATCAGTTTTCCATAAGGTTAATATAACTTTTTTGCGCAGAAGAGAAGGGAAATTCCCATACCTTTAGTCCCAGAGCCAAAGATTTGGCTAAAGACTAGACTAAAGAGCATTCATACATTATCATCTTTGATTTTAATAAAATACATCTGAAATAAGAATGACACAAAAGATAATTGGCTTTTCTCTAGTTTTCAGGTCAAGTTCTTCTACATTTGCCAAATAGCGTACTGGCTTCATGCACTTCCAGAGCTATACTTTCAAAAAGTCAGAAAGGTAATATTTGTTATTTATTATATTTCATTCTGAAATAATTAGATTAGCATGTTATGTTAACATGGGCATGTATTTTGTTGTTCGACAGGAGGACATACCACGTCAGCTCTATTACATTTGCCTGTATGTTGTCCACATCACTGGTGCCTATGTTCTCAAGTGAGTCTCATCAACTGAATGTGGTCTTGATGCTTAAACATAATGCATTTATAATCTCTGTGTTCAGCCTTCACAGACTGGGCCTGGTGCTACTTGTTCCTCATTACCTGGTGGAGCTCTTGTTCCACGCATCACGGCTCTTTTACTTTAGTGACGAAAACAAACAGAAAGGGTAATTTACAGCAAATTCAGTCAAATATATATTGACCAAAACCACACTAATGTAATGTGTGTTTTTTTTTTTTTTTTTTACAGTTTTACTCTGTGGGCTCTTCTCTTTGTTATCGCTCGTCTGCTCACTCTAACACTGTCAGTTCTGACATTTGGGTTTGGACTTCCCCGGACTGAAAATCAGGGCTTCTCTTTAGTAGAAGGAAACTTTAATGTTCTCACCATAAGGTCGCTCACACATATATGTGCTTCAGTTCTGCAGGTCCCATCACAATTTATTTCTGAATGTCTTCTGTCTTGTTTTGTAGGATGACTTGTCTAGCAGCCATATGTCTGACGCAGGCCTGGATGATGTGGAAATTCATCAACTTTCAGTTGAAAAAATGGCGAGAACATAGCCAGAACCAAGCGTCAAAGAAGAAGACAGTGAGCCCAAAGAGCAAGCCTCCTAAGAGAGAGCCCATACGAGGTGTGTGTCAAACTGTGGTTTAGTGACATGGTTAAGACTCAGTAACTCAGTGTAATTAGTCTGTGCTTCTTTACAGGAGGCTCGGCAAACGGAGTCGTAAAGTCAGATGAGAAAATGTCACCACGGGCCAGAAAAGCCAAAGCTTCATAGTCAAAGTTACATGTGACGATGCATAATTACAAAAGATTATTTTTAAATCCTCTCCAAAACTAATCGTGCACAAAGAAACATTTCGTCCACTTTGGGCGAGACTCTTTGGGGAGTCGTCAGTGTTACTGCATAAAAAGATTATTATTCACAGCGGTCTGTGTAGGTGAGGTATGGCAGGGCAGCATTGGTTTTGATGCTTTAACCAGTAGATTTTTCTCTGCAAAGTGTCCTTGATGTAAAACTACTATCACCGTCAGGTACTTTCAACTGACTGAATAATTTGTCTTTGATTGGACTGAAAAGTATGTGGGCAAAACTAATGTACAGACGAACTGTACAACTTATGATTCATAATTAAGAGCCTTAGTCATAAACCACACACTGGGCGTTAACCCCAAACAAGGTGTGTTGTAATATTTGATCGAGCTGAGATGACAAACCTGAATATTAATGATCCTGACCTGCCATTGTCTGAAAGAGCCTTTGAAATCCTCACCATGGATGGAGGCACTTAAACTTTTATTATTGCTCTGGTTCTAGACAGACTGAGCCTGGCAAACTTTATATGAGAACTGTATCTGTGATGCTGTAGTGAATGCATACAGCTAACCCTTTATAATGGCATGACTGGCACCTGAGCAAACCCAGTCTTTATGGTAATGTTGATGCATGAAGGTTTGAGGCTGAATTTGGCTCTTACATCCTGGTCTTGTTGCATCTCTCACATTCGGGACACAGATAAACTTCTATACTTAAACACACAAGCATTCAGTGGCCTTTTCAAATTGCTGCAAGAGGATTTTGTTATTTATTTTACTCATTTACAGTTTTATTTTTTATGCTTTGAGAACTATAACCAGCAACACAGTGGTACAAATGCGGTCAGTTAAATCAAATCAAATCTTTATTCAAGTGTCCTTATAACGTCATTTGTAACATTTGTTAGTTTGAGTTGCCTTCTTTGTTAAAGGTACACTGTGTAACTTTTCTGCTGGAGGATCCGCCACCTGCATGATGTTACTGCTTTGCCTAGAGTCTTTCACAGTATGGCTAGTGGTAGTTTTTTATTGCTTTCAAAATACCTTGAAAACATACATTCTTGCTGTGAGTGGACTAGTCTCACCACAGATCTGACATGTAACTTGGCTTGATGGTGCTGGAACTGTTGTTCCCATGTAGATAAGTTTAATATTAAAACTAAAATTCTTGCTCAAATAAAAGGTGCAAAAGCTCTCAAAACTATTACTTATCTTTATGTATCTGATCCAAATTGCACTAACCAGACTAATTATGCAGAAAAAGTACTAGGAAAGAATGTATTTACATATAAGACAGACTTGATTTCAAAATCATGAGTTTAATCTGCCTCTTTTAACCAATAAATAGCAAAAATGCAAATCTTCAGCAAACTCACTAACTTACCCTTTCTGCTGCTGTTCCATAAAAAAAAATGATTTGTCGACTACTACAAATTTTGGTCAGCTAAGACTAAGACTAACTAACCAATCTGACTACAAGCTGTAATATACTGTGGAACATTCCAGGCAAGGCAATAACTAGATAAGGAGGTGTGGACCCTCCACCAGAAAAATTACAGAACACACCTTTAAGTGATCAGGGGCTCTTCTCTGAATCCGTTGCCTCCCATTTTAAACCATGGGAGGCCTGTTATGTGTGAATGTTGTATGCTGGTATTGTGTTTGTGTCCAATATGGTTTTGCCTGCTATCACTATAGTGTATTAACCAACTCGGGACACTGATTATGACAATGACAACAGTGTTTATTCTAACTCATCAGTTTTATATCTCAAACGTATGTCTTGTGTGAAAGCATGACATGTGACAATCGCTGACGCCCTCCCTTTGGTTGATGGATGTATTCAGTTCACTTTGGCTGGCAGAGAGACAGAGTTTGTACGGAGAGGTGTGATCTATGGGTTACTAAATGCTTATGTGTAACTTGTCTATCACTTACAAACGCCCTTGGCTGGGAGAGATTTTTCATTTTGCCAAATTTGGCGCACGTCCCGTTGCTTCCACCTTTTCAATGATTCTGGCATTGCTGTTGCGAGTTGTGTATTCCTGAATTAGTCTATTTCTGAAGCTCTGTATTGATAGTTTGATCAGAACAGAGGAGGCTGTGGTCTACATAGGGCTAGGCGATATGGTGATAATAACTGAATCGTGATCTTGTTCCTGTGATTATCTGCTATTTTAGTAATAATGTGATTCACTATTTCTCTGTTTGAATGCAGTTGTCAGCTCTAACGTGAGATACTTTTTCCTATTCGTCAATCTCTGTAAACCTCTGGTTAAATCCAGCTGTCACTCACCCAATCATAGTGAATTGTGAACTTTCAGATAGAACAGATTACTTTATTTACCTCTTAAAGGCTATAGGAAAATCCAAAATGTATGTGATATATATATTTTGCCATATACCACTCCTCTAGGTCTAGAGTAGGGAGGGAGAAGAGTAGGTGTGTGCCCTTTACATATGGGATTAGAGATTGTAGATGCATCAAAGCATGATTATGTTGTTCTGGAGATGTAAAAATTAAAAAGAGAAACATTTAGTGTAATCTCCTGAACAAGTGCCATTTATTCACTGTTGTGGTTAATTTTATGGTCCATTCATAATTTGTGCGATACTTTAACCTCAGTCAAGACAGATGCAACTGAGATAAGGCTAAAACAGGAGAGCTTCATTTTTGCTAATACAGTATTGCCCACCCCTATATGGGATCATGATCTGTTGGGGTGCAGCAGTGTCACAGGAGGGAGGGTGGAGCAGGGACCCATAAGAACCAGCCTGTTACTAAACTGTCTCAGATATAAAAGAAAAAAATCCTACACTGTATCTGTCAGATTTTTAAGATATTTTTCTAAAGGGGAGATGTACTTCACTCTTGTTGTGTAAACCTGTGATGGTTTGTTTTGCATCCATGTCAATATGAATTGTCTTTTTATAAAAGATTGAAGCTTGCTGGACTGTTAAGTGTGGGTCAACAGTGCAGTGTGAGTGTTACTTCACCTTCTTCATTGCCTTATTATTAAAGGTCTATGTTACGCAACATTGACTCTTGTGAGCTTTAAGCCATGTTAGAATGTTGTTACCTCATCAAAAACATACCTAGTGTTATGTTTTGTCTACGTCTCCCTCATCTTCCACCTTATGATGTCATGAAGTGGTATTTTTCAAGTTAACAGCCTACCTTTTAATATTTTGGTCAGTAGACATTTGCAATTCCACAGCTGAAATTATCCAAATGATTCTAGTGAAGGCGTGTGGAGTAGAGAAATACAGTGAAGCTCTTCCTGTATTACAACATGACATCACATGGTGGAACAGAGTGTTTTCATTGTGAGAGAAGAACTCAGGGTTTGCGTGCTAAACTTGTGTGAATGAAACAAAACACAACTGTGGGTATGTTTTTGATGAGGAAACGTGGATACAACATTATAACATAGATCAGAAAATAGCGTAATATGGGCCCTTTAAATTATTTTGGCTCAAATATAGTGCAGGGTAAGGCCGCTGCGTATTCACAAGACTTCAACACTTTACTAACACTTAAAGAATAATTAATTTGACAAATAGCTGTTTTTTGTCGCTGAATATTGACACTGCAGCTCACAGCACTGTCAGCAGATATGCCACTATTGAAGCACTGTAACTTCTCAGCTTTTGGATACCTTTGCTTTCACTTTAAATCACTTTTTCTTAATTTAAATGTATTGAGTTTCTGGTAAAAAATAAGCTACTGTTCACAGCAAAAACTATTGAGTATTGTTGACACCTGTTGTGTTGTATGCTCTGGGTGAGTTTTCTGTGCTGCTTCAGATCTGTTACATTATTTTGTCCACATTTATTTATGCAATTTATGTTCATTATGTTCTTGTCACTTTTTTATTTTATGTTTAAATAAAGCCTTTATTCATTAACCAGACTCTTACGCAATTAATTATAAATAGGTCTACCATTTAGTATTTTTGATAGGAATAACAATACAAGAAGAAACAAAGTGAGATTTTGTTATGCAAAAGTTTAGTCCATCCATGTTCTTTTTATGTTGATGGGAATAATTTTAGAGGGGCCACCACAATCTCTTTTATAAACAGGAAACATCCCTCATATTTAAGGATGTAACAATAACCGAAATATCATGATATCGTATTGTCAAAGTTCTCACAATAATATCGTGGACCATCACAATATATCAAATTACAAGTCTCTTTGCTTAAATTAAGAGTTATGGTGCAGCAATAGCTAAAAAAAAGACAGAGGGAACTACATAGACCATGATCCTTTGTTACATTTTAGTGTAAACTACAAGAAGAAATAACAGTTCTAAGCACTTTTAAGTCTTAGTTCTTTAGATTCAGTCTTGTCAAGGCATTTTAAGGGGGAAAAGTAGCATATTAGCCTCCACAAAATATTGCAATAAATATTATATTGTGAGCTGTATATTGTGAAAATATACCGAGAGATTAATAGTGAGCCTCCCCACCATATCGTGAGCTTTGCCATGATATTGCAATAAATATCATACCGTGACGTTCATACCGTGATGATATCATATCGTGAGACGTGGATATAGTTATACCCCTACGCATATTATTGTTATTTATTTGGTAATTGTTGTGATTTATTTTGTAGATTTAGGCCTAACTATATTTATAAGTGAATACATTATAAGACACGTTACTGTATTTTTGCTTGAGTGCAAATTCCCATTAGACTTCTCTTTCCACTACTAGTGGTAAGCCGTCTAAATTAACTTTAAAAAGCGCTGTTACCAGTACACACCACCAGAGGGAGCCCGTCAGCTTTGAGAGCTGCAGGAACAAGGCGTAGGGGCAGAACAGCTTCTAAATCTGCATTGATAAATTACATAAGGAAATCTGCATACAACTTTCACTTCAACACAATTTATTATGATACATTTGACATAATTTCAGTTTATGTTTTGTGTTGTTAAATTACAATTAGACAAGTAAACAAATTAAAACTGTGGGAAGAAAAACACAGAGGCTAATTCCCATGACCACTGCATGAATAATGACTACAAAAACAACTAGACAACATGATGAATCATGGGACAATACAGGATAGAGTGCCACAGGGTCAAAGCAAGGACAACAGTTTGTGCACATAAGCAGTTTCAAGCTGAGTTGGAGACATTCTAGTGGCACTGGAGACTGGGAAGCATCTCAGTGATCAAAATTTGCCTCCTCATTTAGGTATTGCTATAAGGGCTCTGTCCCATTTCTGTTGACTTCTTCCTCAACTCTTTGGCTCCTGACCTGCCACTAATGCTCACTAAGAAAAGGAACCTGTTCGAAACAATCAGTATTTTTCTTATCTGGGGACTCAAGGAAACAGGAACAGAATTTGGATGCAGCCTGCTTTCTGATTGTAGGTGGTTTGAAAGTAGTGGAAACAAGGGGTTGAGGTTTTGAGGAGGCAGGTTTGGAGAACTGGGACCCTTACTTTGTATGCCATCTGTTTGTCACTGTCATACACTGCCTGCTACCTTTGCCACAGAAACAAGCAAAATCCCAGGGTATTCATAGAAAGGCATGCTCCCTCCTTTGTCATTATCATAACCCTCCTCCACTCCACCTCCACTGCAGCAGAACCACCAACCTCCTCAGCCTCTCCATCTTCTTGTAAAAAAAATTGCAGGATCCATGAGCAGAAGTGGGTTCTAAAATATTCAGTAAATAAAAATAATGAACTAAAACAATTGCAAAAGATCATTAAATGGCAAGCACTCTTGGCTCACAGCAACAAGGTTCTGGATTTGAGCCCACAGTAGGTGGGGTCTTTTCTGTGGTTCTCTCCACATTTCCTCTGGACACTGGTTTCATCCATCAACCTCCTAAAACATGGTAAAAGGCAAAATCCTCCACGTCTTTGTAAACTGTCTAAATTTTGCAACGAAGAATGGCATTATCACCAGAAAGAAACACATTTTGAAGTCACCTCAAATGTCAACATAAAGCTTTAACACTTCTTTTAAAGTGTTACATTATGTGAAATTGAGCTTTAAGCCATGTTAGAATGTTGTTACCTCAAGTTATGTTTTGTTTCATTTAGTAATTTCTTTTTTATTAGTCTGTTTACATCTCCATATCTCAAAATGCTCTGTTCTACCTTGTGAGGTCATTTAGTGGTAGTTTTCAAATTACAGCTACTTTTTACCTTTTGTTCAGTAAATATGGGAAATTCCAGGGCTGAAATTATCCAAATGACTCCAGTGAAGGTGTATGGTGATTAAAAACACGTGAAGCCCTTCCTGTATTGCCACATGATATCACAAGGTAGAGTGCTTTTAGTTTGAAAGAAGAACTCAGCCTAAATATGTGCATGAAATGAAAAACAACACCAAACAACAATACAATTTGTTCATCAACTATCTAAGAACGGTCAAAGGTTTCCAAAGAAATCCACCAATCTTTCCCGCCATCACTCATTTGTTTAAGCCTCTAAAGGTTGAACTGTGCTAAAACTTGTTCAAAGCAAAGAAAAAAACTCCATCTCTTCCAATGAGGATAAACCGCTAGTCTAAATTGTCAGTATTATGTGTAATTTCCATATAAATTAGCTTCATTAAAAGGAGAGTACTTTCTTATTTAACTGAGCTCATTTGAAATTCTGTATTTAATAAGACATGTAATCCACGACTGGTAGACTAATAGCCAACAATTAGCAGTGAGGAAAGCCAGTGTGTTTGAGCCCAAGGAACTGCTGAGGTCCTGTCCTTTGTATTATTTTCATTGATTTCCTTAACGGAGCAAATTAGGCAGCTGCTCTGATCCTGGTTTACTCACAGACTTGGCAAAAAGAGAGGAGGTCTGAAGCTTTTAAGAATCTATACAGCAGGGAATGAGGTTCAAAATGTTAAAAAGTACTATATTATAAGCAGTTTCAGCAAGTGCAATTTAAAGGTGAACTGTGTATCTTTTCTAGTGAATGGTCTACCTGGTATGGCTTTAAAGTTTTCTTGCGTTTATACAGTAAGAGATGTTTTATTCCCAAAAAGAATACATTGACAAAGCTTGTAAATGGGGTAGCTTCTCCATATATCTGACCTGTTACTTGGATTAGTAGTGTTGTCACCTTGGAGATAAATAAATTGGAAGTCATAGGAGCAATCCAGGCAAAGCAAAAACAACTCCATGGAGACCAGCAGATGACAGAGGCGTAACCCAAAATGTTACACTGTGCACTTTTAATTTTAAAATCAGAGTCAAATGACATCTAACATTGTTTATGGCATTGATTTTCAAACTGGGATGCGGGACCTGAAAACACAGATGATTACTATGACAATTAGTTATGATATAGTGGTAAACATTTAAAGTATTTGATGAAAACAGTTACACCATTAACCACACATGTGCTCTTGAAAACACTGGGGGTCAAAAGAACTAGCCAGCATGGCGCCGCCTAGTGCCTCCACTCAATTTCATTTCTCTCCAGCGACTAGGTCAGGTCATCGTAATACACTAGACGGTTTTCTGGAATAAAGAGAATGTTTGGTGAATTTCATCAAGGGGAAAGAAGTTATTGCCCTTCTTCCTACGGGATTTGGGAAAAGCTTAATATACCAGTTAGCCCCATTGGAGCATTACATACGTCACGACCAAATAGCAGAAATTGGTTAAATGAAAAAAGTATCTGCCTACCATCGAGTGAACAAATTTTAATACTGCGAAATCAGATGGTTTCTAGTGAAACAGGCTGATGAATCAGGCTACAAAAGAACTGCTGTATGCATACTTTCTTATTTCTACAATTTTGTTTTTCGAACCCAAAACCTTAAAGGGACAGTTTGGAATTTTGGACATATGGCCTCATTTCCTAATGAGCCAGAGAGTTGCAGATGTGTGAAGACACTTTTTTAAAAATTCCATCCAGTCCTTGCATTTACAGAGATCGCTGGTGCTAGGCTAGTGCATGTTAGCAGCTGTAGTTAGTCTTACCCACTCCACAAAGCACCTGAAGCAAATCTATTATTATGCCAGACTGGCGATGTAAATGGTTGTGTTGATAGAATAATGTTTGAAATAAAACTAACCTTACATCACATGAATCTACGCATGTTGAGGGACTATTTTCTCATATAGCAGTTCGCTGCTGCCAAACTTTCTATCAGGAAGTACAACTCGCTGCTGCTGCTCAGATATAAATCCTTCAAATGCATGGTTGGTTTTACTTTGAAAATTATTCTATCAACACAGACATTCACATCAACATTCTGACATTATAATTGTTTTGCTTCGGGTGTTTTGGGGAGTGGGTAAGTAGCAGGCTAACTATGGCCATTGACATGCACTAGCCTAGCACCAGCGACCTCTGCAAATACAAGGACTAGACTGGAATATTTTAAAAAGTGTCTCCACATGTCTCCAACACTCTGGCTCACTAGGAAATGAGGTCCTATGTCCAAAATTCTGAACTGTCCCTTTCAAGGTCCCATATTTTACTATTGTCTCATGTTTATTATAATGGTGTTTCCTCATCACAAACACACCTGGAGTTGTGTTTTGTTTAACACACAAATCCTGCTTATTTATGCTGAGTTCTTCTCTCAAACAGAAAACACTTTGTTCCAACTTGTGATATCATGTGATGATTCAGGAAGTGCCCCTCTGTGTTTTCTAACCTGGCTTAAAGCTCACAAGAGTCAAATTGCATAACATAACACCTTTTAAAGCTTTTGGAAGTGCATGTCTCTGTCTGTAGTGACAATTACACCAGTAAAATTAATCTTCATATACATTTTGTTTTGTCATATACATGTGTATTTATGTTTTAGTGGAGGACAATATAAGACATTTTCTGACCAATAAGAGGTTCCCGGCTTCAAAAAGTTTCAGCACACCTTTAATACATCCCTAATATATGCACGATTTCAACTTAATATAAAATACAC